GTGAACGGCGTGCTGCACTTCATCGACCAGGTCCTGCTGCCGCCGGATGTGTTATACTGGAAGCCTGACGCTGCCCCTCTCCTGCGGGTATGACTGGGGCACAGGCCTGGAGGCTTATCGGGCAGGTTGCTGGGGGCCTCAGTCGCTCCCTCCCTGTCTGACCTCAAGGCTCACAAGTGCCTTTCTGCAGAGAAACATCACCGCCGCTGCTGAGAGCTTTGGTTACAAGATCTTCAGTGGCCTCGTGAAGGTACTGCCCCCCTGTGTGGGCCGGTCAGTGTGTATTTGTGCCTGTGTGTGTGTGTGGTAATGTGAGTGTATATTCACCTGTCTGCACACTTACATGTGTGTCAGCCTGTCCCGTGTGTGTGTACAGGCCAACTGTGTATGTGAGCCTCCCAGTGTGAACACAAGGGTATGTTTATGTGTGTCCACAGACCTGAAAATAGTCAAGGCGTGTGCAAGCTTATCCCTGCATGTATGTCCACGTGCATCTGGCTACAGAACGCGGCTGGCCACCTGGTCCCTGGATCCCCTTCCTGGTCTCTGTGGTCCAGCCCCCCACCTCTGCCCACCAGTCTCTGACTGTCACACCCCTGCTTCTTGCCAGGTGGCTGGCCTCCTGCCCCTACTTCAGGATGCAGCCCACAGGCCCCTGACAATGCTGTGGCCCACAGACGCTGCCCTGCAAGCCCTGCCCCCTGACCGCCAGGTTTGGCTGTACCATGAAGACCACCGGGACAAGCTGGCAGCCATTCTGCGGGGCCACGTGATTCGCAACATTGAGGTGGGTGCACCCCCAGCCCTTGGTCCCCACGGCCTGCTGCCCAGCCTGCCTGCCCAGCTCCAACCAATAGCTCTATCTGCTCAGGCCTTGGCGTCTGACCTGCCCAACCTGGGCCCTCTCCGCACCATGCATGGGACCCCCATCTCCTTCTCCTGCAGCCGTGTCCGGCCGGTGAGTGTGAGGAGAGGGCTTGGATGAGGGCAGCAGGAGGCAGAGGCTCTGACAGTGCGGGGCCGCAGTGCACCTGTGACCCCGTGTACTCTCCCTCTCCACCTGCAGGGTGAGCTCACAGTGGGTGAGGAGGACGCCCGCATTGTGCAGCGGCACCTGCCTTTCGAGGGTGGCCTGGCCTATGGCATCGACCAGCTTCTGGAGCCACCTGGCCTTGGTGCCCGCTGTGACCGCTTCGAGACTCGACCTCTGCGGCTGGTGAGGGAGGCCATAGGTCAGAGGTGGAGGGGCACGGGATCCTAGCCAAGGGACCTGATCGTCCAGTCATCTGACCTTGCTGTGTTGGCCTCTATTCCTTCCAGAAGATCTGCAGCATTTGTGGGCTAGAACCGCCATGTCCTGAGGGCTCGCGGGAGCAGGTAAGGGCCTGGGAGCTGGGTGCGGGTTTGGGCGGGGCCCAGGGACTCCAGGGCTGTTTGACTCCTCTCTGCCCAGGGCAGTCCTGAGACCTGCTGGAGGTACTACTCAAAGTTCTGGACATCCCCCCCACTGCACTCCTTGGCCCTGCGCAGCATTTGGGCCCGGTCTAGCCTCTGGGGTCAGCCCCAAGGCCTGGGCAGAGGCTGCCACCGCAACTGCGTCACCACCACCTGGAAGCCCAGCTGCTGCCCTGGCCACTATGGCAGCGAGTGCCGAGGTGAGCGTCCCAAGGTTGTGGGTATCTCTAGTGGGCCCTTCTGGCACAGCCCTGGCCACTGCTTTGGAGAAGTGTCGGGGTGCTGGGGTGGGGCAGGTCTGGGCGGTGAATGGATTGGGCTGGGAGGGAGTGCTCTGAGAGGCTGGTGGGCCGGCTGCGGGGGTTCTTATCGGTGAGGGGACTTGGGTGGATTGCAGCTTCCAGAGGAGGCTTGGCTGCCCTGGGTGCAGGACGGATGGTATGGCTGGGCGTCCTAAAGAGCCCTGGACCCCCCTCACTTCTCTCACCTTTCACTAGCTTGCCCTGGCGGTGCCAGCAGCCCCTGTAGTGGCCACGGCATGTGCATGGATGGCATGAGTGGCAGCGGGCAGTGCCAGTGCCATCCGAGGTTTACAGGGACAGCGTGTGAACTCTGCGCCTCGGGTGCCTTTGGGCCCCAGTGCCAAGGTGGGCTGTCCTGAACCACCTGTCCTACCCTGCCCTCTGAGCCCCGCGGCCCACACGCCAACCCCATGCGCCTGCTGGTGTCTCCCCAGCCTGCCGCTGCACCTCCCATGGCCGCTGTGATGAAGGCCTCGGGGGCTCTGGCTCCTGCTTCTGTGAGGAAGGCTGGACTGGGCCAAGCTGTGAGGTGCAGCTGAGTGAGTGCTATTTGCATTTGTGTCCACCCGAGTGCTTTCGTACGCTCGTGTGTACCGGTGTGCCCCGACTGCACACTCCAGTGGAGCCATCTGTGGTGGGTGGGAGGGGTCCAGGGGCACCCAGAAGGGTAGCTCCTAACCTGGATATGTGGGGGGGGGTACCTGGGGGACAGAGCTGCAGCCTGTGTGTGCCCCACCCTGCGCCCCCGAGGCCGTGTGCCGCGCGGGCAACAGCTGCGAGTGCGGCCTGGGCTACGAAGGGGATGGCCGCTCGTGCACAGGTGAGTTGGGGGGCAGGTGGGAGGCCCCCTCCCCTCTCGGTCCTGCCACTCACTCTGTCCCTGCCCGCAGTGGTGGACCTGTGCCGGGATGGGCACGGCGGCTGCAGTGAGCACGCCAACTGCAGCCAAGCAGGCACGGTGGTCACCTGTACCTGCCTGCCCTCCTACGAGGGTGACGGCTGGAGCTGCCGGGCCCGAGACCCTTGTGCGGACGGCCGCCGCGGGGGCTGCAGCGAGCACGCCGACTGCTTGAACACCGGCCCGGTGAGCAGCCGAGCAGCCGGGGAGCGGAGTGGCAGGGTGGGGAGGCGCCACAGAGCGGCCCTCAGGGCCCTGAAGAGCACCTGCTCACTCTCTCGCCCCAGAACACGAGGCGCTGTGTGTGCCATGCCGGCTACGTGGGAGATGGACTGCAGTGTCTGGAGGAGCCTGAGCCGCCCGTGGACCGCTGCCTGGGCCAGCCGCCACCCTGTCACGTGGACGCTGTGTGCACTGACCTCCACTTCCAGGGTGGGCTTCCCTGCCCGCTCCCTGTGCCCCTGCTTTACCTCGGTGCTGCCGGGCTGATCACACGTCCCTCCCTTCTGCAGAGAAACAGGCTGGTGTCTTCCACCTCCAGGCCCCCAGCGGCCCTTACAGCCTGAACTTCTCAGAGGCCGAGGCAGCATGTGGGGCCCAGGGAGCCGTTCTTGCTTCTCTCCCTCAGCTCTCTGCTGCCCAGAAGGTGTGTGGGGCTCAGGCATCTGGAGGCAAGCCCATGGGGGCCCCCTCGATTTGGGCCTTTCGTCTCAGCATCCCCTCCTGCCCTGACAGCTCGGCTTCCACCTGTGCCATGTGGGCTGGCTGGCCAATGGCTCGGCTGCCCACCCAGTCGTCTTCCCCGCGGCAGACTGTGGTGGTGGGCAGGTGGGTGTCGTCAGCCTGGGCCTCCGGAAGAACCACTCTGAGTGCTGGGACGCCTACTGCTACCGCGAGCAAGGTGCAGCCCCCCGGCCCCCAGAAACCCACCCCCAACACATGCCCCGGCTCGGCCCCTTTCCACTGATCCACCCAACTGCCTGTCCCACAGACGTGGCCTGCCGGTGCCGCCAGGGCTTTGTGGGTGACGGGACAAGCGTCTGCAACGGGAAGCTGCTCGACGTACTGGCCGCCACTGCCAACTTCTCCACTTTCTATGGGGTGCGCAGCAGCTCGGCCTCAGGGCTGAGGGTGTGGGCAGCTGGGGGTCCCTGGGGATGGGGCCTGCCCACAGTCCTATTTCCCCCCTCCCAGATGCTGCTTCGCTATGCCAATGCCACCCCTCGGGGTCTTGACTTCCTTGACTTCCTGGATGATGAGCTCACCTATAAGACACTCTTTGTCCCTGTCAACGAAGGCTTCATGGATAACATGGTAACCAGCAGGGGCTGTGGACAGAGCCAGACCCGGTACTGATGCCTCTGGCTGGCCTAGGCTAACAGGCCTTGCTTTCTTTGCCCGCAGACACTGAGCGGCCCAGACCTGGAGCTGCATGCCTCCAACACCACCTTCCTGAGCACCAATGCCAGCCGGGATACTGTGCTCCCCGCCCACTCGGGCCTCAGGCTCGTCTTCAGTGCTGTGGGCCCTGACAACAGTTCCTGGGCCCCTGTGGTGAGTTTGGCTACTGCATCTCCCCTGCTGGCCCCAGTCCTCACACACTCACCAGGCCTGATTCTGGTCTTCCTATAGGCCCCAGGGGTGGTTATGGTTAGCCACGTCGTCGTGTGGGACATCATGGCATTCAACGGCATCATCCATGCTCTGGCCAGGCCCCTCCTGGCGCCCCTACAGCCTGTGAGTTGGTGAGGGGTGGGGAGGACAACAGGCAGAACAGCAAGGGGTGAGGGGACGGTCCTGGCCCTTGACGCTCTTCTTGTTTGCAGCGGGCGGTGGTGGCACTTGAGGGTCCACCCGTGGTGGCAGGTGTAGGGGCTGTGGTGGCTGCCGGAGCACTGCTCGGCCTGGTGGCTGGGGCCTTCTACCTCCGTGCCCGAGGGCAGGCCACGGGCTTTGGCTTCTCCACCTTCCAGGTAGAGCCGTCTTGGGTGGGGACGTTGGGGGTGTCTGGGTCCAGTGATCTTGCTCGAGGCCCCGCACCACGCACCTCTCTTCTCAGGCGGAAGATGATGCCGAGGACGACTTCTCCCCATGGCAGGAAGGGACCAGCCCAACCCTAGTCTCTGTCCCCAACCCTGTCTTTGGAAGCCATGATGCTTTTTGTGAACCCTTTGATGTGAGTATGGGGGGTAAGGAGTGACAGAAGGGGCCCCAGGGCTTGGCTATCGGCCCAGCCACAGATGGCCCTCCTACCACCCAGGACTCGCTCCTGGAGGACGACTTCCCGGACACCCAGCGGATCCTCGCAGTCAAGTGATGCGTCTAGGACTGAACAGAGGCACGAGCAGGAGGGAGACTACTTTTATTGCCCGCCCTGAACAGACGCCCAGCACGGGTGGGGCAGGAGGGGTTAGGACCTGTTCTGGACAATAAAGGTGCCCTCAGCGGATGTGGGCCATGTCGCCAAGGAAGGGCGTCTTCATGCAGCCGGTGCAGAGCTGGTCCATCCAGAGTGGCGCCTCATGCTGTAGGGGTGTGCGGCGTGGGTAGAAGGTGAAGTCGACCCGGTAGTTGAGTAGACAGCTGAGGGAGGCCATGTAGAGGTCAGAGAAGCGCACGAGGCGCCGTGAGAAGTACGTGGGGTTGTGGAAGGTGCGGAAGATGCTCCCAAACTGAGCGTTGAACAGGGCCTTGGTGATGCACCTGAGGAGGAGACACGGGGCACTCGAGCGGGCACCACAGGAGTGAGGCTGGGAGCCCCTCCTGCCCGACCCTGCCCACCTCAGCTCCTGCCGCTCCTTTACCCAGGCAGCCAGCACCTGCTGCGACTCAGCATCCTGGTACGTCTGGGGGAGACAAAGCGGGTGCTGGGTGTGTGCCTGGGCAGCAGCCTTGCCCTCCCCCCAGGCCACCCCACGCCCCCACACCTGCATGCGCTCCAGAAGCCCCGTGAGTGCCTGCTGCCACGTCAGGGAGTGCATGTATTGCTCTGTGTTGATGATGCGGATCTCGCGCTCTAGCTCGGGGATGATGGCACCGGTTCGCCAGCCGTGCCGCAGCATGAGGTCCTGCGGGCGAGGACAGGGTTCAGCATCAGCCGGCAGGCCCTTTCCCTCCCACCCAGCCTTGCGCCCCTCACCGCCAGATCACTGTACAGATGGTCTCCGAAGTAGAGCACACGGGGTCCACGCCACTCCGTCAGGCGCAGGAAGTCATATAGGTTTCCCTGGAGAGAGATGGGGGGGGGGGGGCGCACCACTGAGCACAGTGTACCACGGGGCTGCCAGAGCCACGCCATATTCTCCACCCTCCTCCCAAATCCCCAGGGGAAGTGCGGCCCCTCCAGCCGCCCTTTCCCGTGGCCTCACTGTCCCCTGGCTCTGGCCCCGTCTCCTCCCCCTTCACAGGAAGGGGGTCTGCCTGCCACAGGAAGGTCTCCTGTCGGCCTGGCATGGTGCCCTGGGCCTCCCCTCCCTGTGGCCTCACACCCACCCCAGGGATCCCACGCTGTGGGAAACAAACTACAGCAGCAAGCCCGTGGCCCTGAAGCCCTTCCTGTCCTCCCTGGCCTGGGCCCAGAGGGACCCGGCAGACCTCACTGCAAAGCCATCTGCCTCTCCTGCTCCAAAGCCAGAGAAAAGATGAAGGCAGTCAAGCTCAAACACAACAGAGGAAGCTTGCAGGAGAGCAGAAAATGGGGCAGGGGGCCCAAAGCAGGAAGTGCAGCAGCCCACACCCCAGAAAAGAACAGAATTCACACTCAGCAAAGGAGCTACTACAGTAGTCTGTGCATGTGAGAGGCTGGGGGGAAAAAGCCACGCGTGGCAGACACAGGGCCGTGAAAGAATTGGTGAAATAAGCTCAAGTGGGGAGGCTGTAGAATCAAGTATGAGTGGGCGGAGCACTGAGGACATGCCCTGAACCTAGAGAGAATCTCGAGGTACAGGTGCTGAGTCAGGCCAGATGGAGCCTGGGTTCCTGCAAGGGGAGACAGGGAGGGAGCATAAAGACAGACAAGAACCAAGCAGGATCCGGTGCACACACAAAATGAAACTTCAGATCATAAGGCATAAAGAAAAGGCTTAAAGCTGCTAAAGGAGAAAAACTCCCATGTTCCCCGCGTAGGTACATGACCCTTCTCAGGCTTATTAGCCAAGATGCCAAGACAAAGGAGAGCTGCCCTCAGAGCTGAGGTTAAGAGCCTGCGCTCAAGGGGGCCACGGAGAGTTGGGTGCTGCCCAGGTAGGAGTACTGCCTACAGGCCGGGCTGCTGCCCTGGGTACCCCAGGCTGCTCCCGACCTGACTGCTGACTCCCCCCCGCCCCCAGCCCCTGGGACTCCCTCCCTCAAAGAAGCCCAGCTCAGCCAGGATGTCTGCATTCCATCCAGGGCCAAATGCCTTAATCACCACCCAACCCCTAGCACTAGGCCCCCTTCTTAGCTTCCTAGCCACCAGGCAAGAAAAGGGGTCCCCAGAGGCCCGTGAACTGCTCCGACCAGCTTGTCTGGTTGTAGCAGAGTGGTCAGCACCAAGGAATGACAGTGTTGTTTACCAGGTATTTAGTAAATGCCTGGCCAATCTAAGGGCTTGTACACCACCATTCAAGTAGGACATTATACTTTTTTTTACCTTACTTTATACCTCTTTTATAGATGAGGAAAAGAGAGAGGCCAAGTGACTTGGCCAGATTCCCTCTGCTATTGAGTAGTAAACTTGGAATTCAAATGAAGGTAGCGTGACCAGGCCTGTGCCCTGAGAGCCATTCCCCGATGCCCCTGGACATGGTGCAAGGGGCAGAGCCTCGGCAGATGTGTGGTGACTGGGCAGGGCCCAGGAGGCTGTGCTGCTGTCCCCTCTGCAGCCTGGGGCTGTGGTTAGGCCAGCCAGATGGCACTCACCTGCCGATAGATTTTGCCTTTCTCCAGGCGGGTGATGCGGTCCCAGTGCAGGGAGCCTTTCTCGTCGAGTTTTCTGAAAGGCCTGGGGTCAAAGGGGTAAAGGGCTTGGATTCCAGTCTGAGGCAGGACCAGGGGCAGCTACCTCCCCAGTCTGCAAAGGCTACTTGCTCACAAAGGCTGGGTGTCTGCTGACAAGGGGGTGTCCCCACCCCAAGCATGCAAGGTGGTGAATGAAGGCCAGTGCCTGCTCCCCGCCCTCATCACCCCTTGCTAGGCCCATACTTGCGCCGGTCAGTAAAGAAGCTGGGTTTGTCCGCCTGGACGATGACCACATCGAAGAGCTGGCGCCAGTCGGGACCCACCATGTGCCGCATCCCCTTGTCCCTGGGCAGAGGTAACACAGAGGTGGAACAGGCAGCAGGTGGGCTGAGGCAGGCTCCTCCCTGGGCCCCACCCCATCCCCTCCCTCCCAGGAGCCCCCACGTCCCCACCCCCCACCGCAGGCAGCTCACACGAAGCTGAAAGGACTGTTTGTGATGAGGAAGAGCTGCTTCCCATGGGCCACCAGGCGGCTCAACACGGCGAAGGTCTCGTCCCCTCTCAGAATGTACTTCTCTAACGGGGAGATGTGTCTGTGAGGGCCAGCCTGGCCCCCTGCCCAGGAAGCCACAGCAGGACTACTGTCTACCCTTACCCATATCCTGCTCGATCCACTGGTACATGAGGCCCTTCACGTGCACATCTCGAATGGCATCCTGGGGGCAGGAGAGGGACTGTGAAGGTGTAGTGGGGCGTAGGAAGGCCTGCCCCACCGTGGCTGACTTGATCTTCCCTGCCACCCAGAGAGGCAGGCCCAACATCCTCACCGTCACATCCTTGTAGAGGTGCGCCTGGTCAAACTCCAGGCCGTGACCCAGGAAGTGGTCCACCACACAGGACAGCAGTGCCATTTCTGGCAGCGAGAAGATGTCCATGAACTGCTTGATGGAGGGTCCCTGCGGAGGGAGCTGTCACCTCAGCAACCTTTCTAGCCCTACCACCCCTCGCCTGGAGACCAGTGTGCCTTGGGACACTGGTAGAGGGAAATTGCCTGAGGGTCAGGGCACGGGCACCCACAGTGAGATCACTGAGCTGACCGCCCTGGCCAGTGGCAGTGTTAGATGGAGCAAGTACCTTGCCGTAGAAGCCACTCATCTGGTACAGTGGGATGTGCTGGGTGCCCCCATACAGATCTATCACCTCCTCATCAGGCACAGGCTGGAGACCCCTGGGTGGATGCACAGACATCATGAGTCTGAAGTGGTTCTGAGCCGAGGCCACAGTGTAGATGCAGGGTGGGGCGGGGGTTGGGGGACAGCAGGGTCAGGCAGGGCAGTCTGCACTGACCTGTAGGCCGTCCCCAGCTGCACGTAATGGAAGGCATCAATCTTCATCAGAAGGCTCTGGGAGCACCAGGGGAATGGGATGGGGGATAAAAAAGGGGTTCACATGGGCCCCAAGCCAGCCTCTTCCAGCCCCTGTGCTGAAGCCCCAGTTGGCAGGTACCGAGGGGATTAAGTGCCTGTGAAGCTACAGCTGTGAGGCCAGGGGTAGCCCCTTTCAGAGGATTGGGGCTAAGGAAGTACTGTCGAAGCACACCAGTCAGGATGGGCCACGTGGGGTCTAGGGCCTAAGCACTCACCTTCTGAATGTCGTAGTGGAGGCCTCGGATGGCAAAGCTGGGGTCGTAGTCATACTTCCGGATCCCCTCTGGGTACTGTTGGGGGCGAGGGGGAAGTAGGCCCGGCCTGAGCCAGTGGCACTACCAGACCTCTGGCTGGGCAGTCGCCTCAGGGGACCCCCGTGACTCAGCATGAGGTTCCACCGGGGCCTGAGTCGTCTGCCCGGCCAGCCTCACCTTGTAGTGCTCAATCAGGATGTCGCGGGCGGCACTGAAGATCTCGGGGTGCAGCGCGTCTGCATACTGAGCCAGCGTGTAGTCGTAGTCAAAGCCATAGACTTCAACATCACGCAGGCTGATCTCATTGTTGGCATAGATGGCTGCTGGGTTCAGGAGACTGCAGACCTCAGGGGGCAGGAGGTCTGGAGGGAGGAGGTGCAGGTATGAGGAGGAAGATGAACATGGAGGCAGCAGATGGTCACTGGGCACTTTCCAGGTGCCCAGCCCTAGGAGCCTCATGAAACCATCCAGGACAGGCAATCTTAGCCCGAGGCTGCATATGGTCAAACTGAGGCTCAGAAATGCCACTTGCCCAGGTCACGTGGTTGGGGTAAGGCAGAGCTGGCAATGAGACAAGGCCACGGCTGGAGCTCCCAGCTTTGGGTTTGGGTTACACCCCTGCCTGTAGCCCACAAGGTGCACTGAGCCCACATTCCCTCCAGGCTCTCATAAGCCCCATCGGACCCGTGGCCACACTTGGACCCTTTCTACCCTGCCTGAAGCCTGGGCTGGGACCGAGGAACATTATGGGAGTTGGGGGGACAGGTATGGGGTAGCTCCTCTGCTGCTCGCATTACCGGCTCTGAGCACCTGCCATGGCCTGTGAAGCAAGGCCACTCTAATTGGATTTCAGCGGCCCGCCAGTCCATATAATGACATTTGCTGCTTCTGGCCAGGGAACATTGCTAATTACGACAGGCAGGATGTGTGATGTTAGGCCGTGGGGCAGTACCCAGGCTGCTCTCCTCTGGGAATGTGGTCGTGGCCACCCCAAGCCCTTGGCTGCTACAGACAGGTTGAGTGGGACACTGTGCAGAGTAGGCTCTAGAGTCCTGGGGAGGCAGAGGAGGATGAGGGGTCCCAGGCTCCTCTGCCTCAGTTTCCCCATCTATACAGTAGGGGAGGTGGATGGGGAAAGGCACCAGGCTTTGAGGTCAGAGAGACCAGGCCAAATACTCCCTCTTACAACTGTGACCTCAGAAAAGTTACCTCATGTTTTGTGCCTCAGATTCCCTATTTCTGAAGGGGGGACAAAACTGCCAACCTGGAGAATTACCGAGAGGTCCTGTTGAACGTGCTCTGTGCAGCATTCCTGCTCTGCACCCACGGCAAACGTAGGATTAAATGGCGATGGGCCTCCCTGTCCTGGATCTCCCTGCATCACTCAAGGAGCAGGGTGTGGGAGACGGAACCAGGTGAGATTAGGTGCACAGGACGCCACCCTGCAGGGGCTCCAGGTCCCATTCCTGAGACCACCAGCTTGTGGCTAAGGCCCACACCCACAGCCCAAGCCGCCACGGAATTCCTGTCTCGGACACAACGAGGCACACGATTTGGAAGGGCCTGAAGAAGCCCTCGGCCACGCAGCAGGCCTGGCAGCTGCCTGTGCGCGGAGGCAGACACCCACGAGCTCCCACGCTCGGAACATTTGCCTTGGAGGCCCCTTTGGAACACGGCTCCACCCCTACCCCCTTTCCTTTGGAGCCAAGTGCAGGGTGTGGGTGGGGGAACAAGTGTGGCTGGTTCCTCTAGGGGCCCCAGGCCAACGTAAGCCTGGCACAGAGCAGCTGTTTCGCAGACTGGTGGGTGCAGACAGAACACTCCTCACTTGGATGCACGGGAGACAGCTGCCTTCAGCTCTCTAGGGAGCTGCTTCTGGAGGCCTCTCTGATGTCACTAGGTCCCTGGGCCTCACTCTCCCCACGGTCCTGAGTTCCTGGGTACCAAATGTGACTCTTGGTACCATATCGAGTAGCCCCCAGGAGGGGAGGGATCTGCTTGGCAGTGTAGCCCCTCATTGCTGGCAGAGCCCTGGCCAAGGCCAGGCTTTGCCTCTGTCCTCAAAGATGTTCCTGGGATGGACAATCCTCTGAGGAACAAAGCTGGATAGAGACGCAGCCCATGGGGTCTGCCCTTCTGACCTGATTTCTGGATGGAGGAAAGCACAGCTCTGGGGGACACGAGGTCCCACGCCTTTCCATGGGACTGTGGTGGTGCACAGGACCAGGTGGGGGAGGATCTACTCCTCACCTACACTGGCCTCCCAAGTTCACTGGGCTCACTGTGCAGACCTCACCTTCCTTTCCTCTTCTCAGCCCCCAGTTCCCACCTTTGCCCCAGGGCCAGCTCTTCCCCACGGCAGCTGTAAGACTCACTGTTGGGTGCCTTCCTCCCAGATGCTGCTGGGTGCACTTGCTGGGTGCCTTAGAGGCCCATCCTGTTTGAGCCTTACTCCAATCCTGTGAGGTGGTTCCACTTATGCACCCACCATCCAGAGGAAGAAATGGGCTCAGGAAGGTGAAGTCATTTGCTCTAAACCATCCAGCAGTAGGCAATGCAGTTGAGATTAAAATTTGGGTCACTCCACCTGCCTTAAATCACTCTGTCCCAAAGGCCTAGCCTTTCAGCGTCCCTGGCGGGGAGGCACTGGGCTGGGGCCTGGCTCCCAGGTGAAGTTTTGCCCACAGGCATTAGCCCAAGGCATACCTCAATGCCCAGAATCTCCCCCAGAAAACCCAGTCAAGAGGAATGAGTTAGGACTCAGGGGTGCAAGTCTGGCTCATCCTGGCATCTTGGAAAGGACACTTGCACGTCGAGAGGAGCTTTCACATCGAGAGGAGCTTGGGTGGCTCTGTGAAGATCTGAAGATCCGGGTGAGCCAGGTGTGACAAAGCCCAGCAGGCCCCCCTGTGTTCTCTCCCACACCTACAAGGCAGACCTACGGAAGGTCTTCTCCAGACCTAGAGCAAACACATCCCCTTCACAGCATCCCAGGCCTGTCCTCTCCACTGAAGGAGGTGGGGGTGGGGGCAGGGTCCCGAAAGAGACCCAAGGGCTTCAGAACCACAATTCCTCTGCCTTGGGCTTCTCGGGCGAGTCCTGTCCAGCTCTCCACACAGCTAGAGTGGAAGCTCCAATCATCTGGCATCTTCCAGACAGGCCACTTTGTCTTACCAGACAATGAGAGCCGCATCACCCTTGGGGGCTCCTCTAGAAGCTCCCCTGCCCTTTCCTGGCCTGGTTCCTTCCGAATCTTCACCACAGCCCTGCGTTGTGGGTTTGTGTTTTGTACAGTAGACTTTGAGGGTCCAAGAGGAGGCGGCCTACTGAGCACCACCGGCTGGTCAGTGATAAGAGTCAAGCCCAAACCACATATGCCTGCCACAGAGCAAGAGCCCGGAGGGCGGGGGCGGCGGTGCATGGAGAGACAAATATCGGGCACTCTCGGACCTCTGGCCTGATCAGGGCATCCCAGCCTAGTCTCTCTGGGGGACGCCTCATTAACCCATTTTGCAGTGTCCTGGCCAAAGATGAAGCCACCCTTGTGGACTCCAGGGTCCTGGGGCGCTTGGTCTCGTTTCTCCAACCAACACATTTTCCTCCTGGGCTGAGAGTGCTCGGGACCTCGGTGGCAATCTAGAGGTGTCTGCAAAGTCTAGACCGCGTCCGCTTAGGGTGGGCAGCGCCGCCAGCCGGCTTTGTCCCTGGAGCTCCCGCCCCAACTAAGGGCCCCTAAGAGAACAAGGGGTAGGGGGCATTTCCGCCGCAGCATCCCGGCAGGCGGGATCACCAGGAAAGATGGTGGGGGTTCCGCATTCCGGAGGCCGCTTCGGGAACCCCGAGCTCCTTCAGACGGAGCCAGGGAACAAACCCTCCCGTCGGTCTGCTTGCCTCCGGGCGTCGGGGAGGCCCGAGAGGGCCCCGGGACGACCAGCGGGAGCCTCTCCCGAAGAGCTGCCTCCGCCTTCGGGCTCCGGGGCCCCGGCGAGCCCCACCAGGGTGCTTCCCCCGAAGCGCGGCGCCCGGGACGGCTCGGGACGGCCGGTGTCTCCGTCGCCTGGGCGCGCGCCTGCCACCGCGCGGATACACCCCCGGCGCCCATCCCACCCCGGCTCACCCACCATGCACCAGTCTCCGCATGTCCTGGTAACGAGTCCACAGGTGCGCGCTGAGCTCGGCGCCGCCGGCGGGCGTCGGGGCGGGCGCGGGGCGCGGGGCGCCGGGGCAGTGGACACCGGGACCCGGGGGGCCGCAGCCAGGGCAGGAGGGCGAGGATGACGCGGCTCGCGGCCCGCCGTGGCCCCTGCACGGCAGCCAGCGCCGAGCGGCCGCCCGCAGCCCCGCACCCACCATGCCCGCCGCGCGCGGCCCGCGCAGCCCTCGGCCCGTCGGCCAGTCCGCCGCCCTCCGACTGCGCGCCCGCCACGGTGGCCGCGTGCTCCTCACGGCGGCCGGCCAATGGGTGCGGCGCGCGGAGCCCGGCCGGCCAATAGGTGCGCCCCTCCGCCCGGGGGGGCGGGAGGTCCCGGGACGGGGCGGGGCGGGACGGGCTCCCTAGCCCCCTCCCCCGTCTCCTCGAGGCTGAGAGGGACTCTGCGCCCCCCTTCGGTGGCCACGGCGGCAATGGCCGCTCCTTGGGCTTCCTTCTCGGGAGGTCGGAAGACCCAAGAACGGTCATCTCCTTGAGGCTGCGGACGGCCGGGGCATGTAGAGGGGAGGGCCGGAGCGCGGCGGGTCCACCTCGACCCCTCCCACCCCCCCGCCCCGGGTCTCTGTCTCCCCCTCCTCTCCCGGGTCCTCCTGCCCCTACCCTCCCGCTCTCCGTCCTTCTTGACCTCAGCTCCGCCACCGCTCCCGGCCAGTCATGCGGCGGGGGTCCTCTTCCCTGCAGACCAGAGGCCGGCCAGTTTTCGCTCTAGCAGATAAAGAGCCCACCCCACTCCGGGTGAGACCCCGGCACCCGCAGCGCCGTTGAAGGCCGCTGAAGCAGCCCCTCCTCGCTTCCGCTCTGTACCGCACACAGGTGACCCCTTTTAACTCGGGGCAGGACCACGGGGCGGTGCGGGGCAGAGCTGTGGGCCCGGGGTCACTGCGCCTGCCTGGTTCTGACCTCAGCAAATGGCCTCACCGACCCCCCTCTCCGCTTTTCCGCGCGCGGCCCCCATGGAGATGCTGCTGTCTCTTCTAGCAATGTCTCCACACTTTCCATCGAAATTCTGCATTCCTGCTTGGAACCACTCTCCACCTGTGTTTCTTCTACTCACATCTGTTTCCTGAGCCCGCATGCGTACCAGGCGGTGCACTGGGCCCTGAGGAGGCCCACCCAGCACCGGTGGGCCCTGCCCGGTGGGGAGCTGGCCAGCTGGACACTCTTGTTTCCTTGGGGTGCTCCTCCCAGATTAAGAGTGTGTGCGCAGTGGATATACACTGCATCCTGGCTGAGCACCTGCATGTGGTGGGCCAGATCCTGGGCCAGGTGTTGGGGCAGGATGGAGGCGGAAGGGTAGGCCTGTGGGAGCCACAGTAAGCTAGGAGGGCGTTGAGGACCTGGCCACAAGTAAGTCTCCTCAGGGCGGGAGATGGGTGCTCCGCGGTGACAGGCTTCCAGAGCCACCAACAGAAACGAGTGAGCGCCAAGCCAGTGTGTATGGGAAGCTGGAGAAGGCAGGTTACCCAGGCAGCAGCACTGGCCCGGCTGCCCAGCGCCGGACTCTGTGACTCTTGCCAGGGGCCCTGCTTGCTTTCTCCCTCTGCTCCAGCCTATTTGTGTATATTTTGTGTTCATGTTACCAAACTGTTTTATTGAATAAGTTTTCATTTGATTTTTTTTTTTTTTTTAGTTCGTGGAATAGTTGTCTCCCTTCTCAAAGATACGGTCCAGTGCTTTTTTAACCTTAGGTAATGAGGTAACAGCCCTTAACAACAAAGCACAGAGACTTAGTGACTTAGGGAGAGTGAAGGCTCTGGAGTCAGAGCTCTGCCAGTACCTGGCTCTTAACTTCTGTTTCCCATCTATAAAAGGAGATGATGCAAATAGAGGCGAATTTCCCTAGGTTTTAGGGTGCATATAAAGAAGTGGCACTCAATAAGTCATTATCACTATAATCATCATCATCATCATCATCATCCTGTTTTAGCTAATGACAATTGTCAGTTACTATGCTCCAGGCATTGCGGTAAGCTTTGTTTTACCTCGAAATCCTCCCAGCATCAGAGAAAGGGTCCCATTTTGTGGAGGAAGGGATGTGGTTTGACATAGCCGGTGCTCTTGAGTCACTGTGCTCTTCTGTGAATATTGTGAATAAGGAAATGATGCATAAAAATCACCTACAAGTCCCTGTATAACGGTAAGTGCCCCGGATGGCTTTATTAATACCAGGGTTGTCACAAGGTGATTAGTTGGACTTTTGTTGTGATAGAGTTCAGCTTTCAACAATGCATTTCAAATTCTGTTATTTTTAGAATTCTTGTCACCAGTCGCAATCCCGAAATAAATGCAAAGCATTGCATAATTGCATTTTAGAGTACAGTGCGGTACACGTTTAGTCCAAAAGAGAGGGTCGACACTTCTATCAGGACTTTAAGGAAAAAGATGGCGGTGGCAGAGTAGGGGGCGCCGCCGCCAACTCGGAGCACTGGCTTGCACACGGGCCGCCGGGGCGGAGCCGGGTGGACGCCACGTGGGAGACCCCGCCCCCCTAGGCCACTCCGCCTCCAGAGCCTAGGCGCCTGCGCCAGCTCCCTCAGGCTGGGCTCGACCTCAAGGAGCACGCGCACTCTGCCGCATTCGGATTGGCGGGTCCTCGCTCTCCAGCACACTCTGATTGGTGGAGCCGCCCAGTCTCCATGTCAGGGTGTCCGACCTCAGCTCCTACAGCTCTCCACCTGCCTGGAGGTGGCGCACGCCGGCCGCGGGACTCGGCTTCCGCTGGGCGCTCCAGTCCAGGAGCTGGGGCAACTCTTGTCGCTCCTGGTTCCGCTGTTCCCGTCCACGACCTGGGTCGGGCATGTTTTCCAGGGCCAAGGTGAAGCGGATCCTGCAGCGGGTTCCCGGGAAGCAGCGATTTGGCGTTTACAGGTTCCTGCCCTTCTTTTTTGTCCTGGGAGGAACAATGGAGTGGATCATGATTAAACTGCGCGTGGGCCAGGAGACCTTCTGTAAGTGGGGGTGCAGCAGCGTCTGTTTCATTTCAGGAAGGCGGGAGGCGGCAAGGGACCTGTTTTCCTGGGGGACAGTCTTAGGTTGTAGACCGCTCATTCCACTCTGAAGCGCTGAGGTGCCTTTACCGTTGTCAGAAGGGCAAGTACGGTTCCATTCGCGGCCCGGGCTCTCTCGTAAGCGGGGCACAAAAGCACATTGGCTTCCAACCTTGGGACCTTCCCTGCACTTTGAAGGGAGAGCACGTAACTCCACGCGGAACGCCCTCCTCTCAAGCCTGCCCTTCGTCCCTGCCCTCCAGTGACATTTGGTCCTAAGGAACACATTTGCTTCCCTCACCGTGAAGGGAGTGGGATCCTGAAGATTCAAGGAATCGCTAATCGGCCAGCCCTCTCTGGATTCTTCAGTCCAAACCCTGGAGGGAGCCGTCCGCCTGGCCCAGCGGATTATGGCAGTCTTGGCCTGCAGCCTTGGCGGGCAGAGTCATTTGACACCAGGGCCCAGCACTGTGAGAAGAATGCCTGGCATTGCTTTGATGAGCACTGGCTCTACTTCCCCTTCTGGAAAAACTTCCCCACCCTCTAGGCCGTTTCTGCTTTATTCCTCTCCAGAAACACGTTATCACTTGTGAATTACCAACTCTTATTTAAAAAAAAAAATTTTTTTTTTAATGTTTATTTTTGATAGAGAGCAGGCGCAAGAACGAGGGAGGGGCAGGGAGAGAGGGAGACAGGATCTTAAGGGGGCTCTGCGCTGACAACAGAGAACCCGATGTTGGGCTTGAACCACCAAACGTGAGATCATGACCTGAGTCAAAGTCAGATGCTTAAGCAAGCCACCCAGACGCCCCTATTTAAAAAAATTTTTTTAAAGATTTTATTTTTAAACAATCTTCTAGCCCCAGCATGGGTCCCCTCGAACCCACAACCCTGAGATCAAGAATCGCATGCTTCAGGTACACAGCCATCCAGGTGCCCACCAACCCTTATTTTAAAAACATTGTTACATTAGTGCTTTCTGAAGATACTTAGTCCTTTTGTTCATCCATTCATCAGTATTTAATAAGCACCATGAGAGTGTATAATGAACAAGGCAGAGTGTCCTCCACTTCAGAAGAGCTCTAATGGCAGAGACCATCATAAAGACTGTTACTATCAAGTGTGATCAATACTGAGGGGACAGTGGCAGGAGGCAGTGGAAGTCTTGGGAGGGGGGGTGGAGACCTCAGCTAGATCAGATGGTGTGGGGAAAGCTTCCAGGAGTTAGCATGTCAAGTGGGACCTGAAGATTGAGTAGGTCAACCAGATGAGGGGAACGTTTGTGGAGGTGAAAGTGTCTCACGCTAGTACCATGGTGTGAAAGTTTACTGTTTAAGGGACTGAAGGTGAGTGGAGTGAGGGATGAAGTGGTTAGAAATGTGCCTGGGCCAGTGTGTCCAGACGCACTGGAGAACCAAGAATGTACCCAAAGGATTGCAGGGTTTTAAGCGGCAGTGGATTAACACAGGAGAGCAGATTCTTATGGTGAGGAGGCAAGAACACAGGGTGTTGGATGATCAGGTCTGAGACGAGGGCCTGGTCAGGTGGGAGAAGATGAGATGCCAAAGAGTGGAGTTGAGAGACACTCGAGAGATGGTGCTGACAGGGCCCGGGACTGAGTGGACTCAGGAGGTGGGGAGTCGTGGAGGCTTCTGGTAGGACAGCCGCGGCAGGGGGACCACTGTCAGGACAGACATGCTTTTTGGACGTGCTGAGGTGGAGATGGTTCTATAGATCTGAAGCTCAGCAGGTAGATCTGGGTCATGGGTTTGTGGGTCATTTGAAAGCAGATTGTGATGGAAGAGTCAAATCCAACATTTCAAGGATGATTGGGAGTAGCCAGAGAGGCAAGGAGGAAACCAGGAGGGTTTATCACAGAAGACAGGAGTCTCAGGAATCTGATGCTGTGAATGGGGGTGGGGGAGGTCAGCCCTCCCTTTCCACCACTAGGAGAGACCTGAAGATACGGAGATTCAGGTCAGGAAAGGGAGGTGGAGAGACGCTACACTTGCCTGGCTCTTGAGAAGGTGGGAGAGGTTGGATCAGAGCAGGGCCAGGGGAGCAGCCCTTGGAAGTTAGCTGGAAGAATTCTTTACTGATGACCTAGCTGTGTGAAGAAGAGTTCATGGCCTTCTGGGGGGTGAGTGAAGAAGGGTCAGGGTCATGACTGAGGAAACAGGATTGTGAGGCCTCACAGTGGACCCAGTGAGGGCATTAGTTGGCCTTACAGCACAAAGCCACCATAGTGAGGCATGCAGGAGGCAGGCAGTTGAATTAGTCTGTAGTTGTGGTTTTGAAGATGCATCAAGAAGTTATTAAGAGGGGACTGCAGCTGGTTTGGGCAGAAGACAGAGCATGAGGGGACTGAGGAGGTATTCAGGGGGCAAGGGCCTGCGGAAGATGTTGCTAGAGGCCCAAGGACAGAATGACTAGCAAGGTAGTAGAGGCTGTGGTCAGAGCAGGCTGGACTTAATGCTTCAGAGAACACCGCAAGTAGATGGCAGAGGTGGAGACGTCAGGGAGGTGAAGGGGCTAGTGCTTCCCCCCATGGCAGGTGGTGTTGCCTGGGCAGATGGCACAGGACAGGTCAAGGAGCCTGAGCTAGATGCCAGCACTTTCAGTGACTAAAGGGGAGTGATGGAGCCAGGTGCCCATGCAGAGAAGATTGTGGCAAACGGCCAAAGCCCCAAGTGAAGAGGGTGAAGAATCTGCAGTGTCCAAGGGGAGCTGCTGAGAACAAGGCAACTCCCCCCCGCCACCCCGAGTTCCCCATGTGGGTGAGGGAGTAGCAGAGGGCCGCAGGGCAAGAAGTGCCTTTGAGGCACTTCAGTTAAGGATGATTTCAGAGAAAGACATTTTGGGGGGCGGGCGGGGAGAGGAAGTGAGGAAAGTCAAAACAGCGCTTAGAGGTTTGCCAGGACACGAGCCTGTCTTTGAAGACACGGACTCTTAACATGCCATTGAAGTCTAGAACCGCATTAAGACAGGCCTCATTTAACTCGTTTTCTTTTCGATGAAGTTTATTTTGGCTTTGAGTTAAGCAGTGAGATTCATGAAGAGCTTGACAGCTCTAGACTACTGGTTAAATTGGTCAGATCTGAGTACTTTTAATCCTGTTTCTTAAAAACCTAAGTGAAATTTTTACTTGGTGCAGATGATGTCTACCGTAGAAAAGCCTCGGAACGGCAGCACCAGAGGCGGCTAGAAGGCGCTTCGGAAATGGAACTTCAGCCATCAGTAAAGTGAACGTGAAATTTTACTACTGGTTTCAATTCCTTTGAAAATGTACTTGTTCTCTTGTTCTTACTAGAACTGCCTTTCCAAAGAATTTTTATAGTTTTCCTGTCTCTGCTTGAATACTTCCCAAGTCACTGTTGGATGGCACTTGCAGAAAAAAAACTATTTCCTCCTGAAACACTATTGCCCATTAAATCCATTCCATGAAAATATTTCTTTAAATTAAAAAATTTTTTAAAAATGTTTTATTTATTTCTGAGAGACAGAGGGACAGCGTGAGCAGGGGAGGGTCAGAGAGACAGGGAGACACAGAATCCGAAGCAGGCTCCACGCTCTGGGCTACCTGTCAGCACAGAGCCCGACCCGGGGCTCAAACTGTGAGATTATGACCTGAGCTGAAGTCGGACATGCAACCGACTGAGGCACCCAGGTGCCCCTTCTTTAAATTTTTTTAAATGTTTATTTGAGAGAGAGAGAGGAAAAGAGAGACCGCACAAGAAAGAGGGAGGGGCGAAGAGAGAGGAAGACACAGAATCTTAAGCAGGCTCCAGGCTCTGAGCTGTCAGCACAGAGCCTGACACAGGGCTTAAACCCACCAACTGTGAGATCATGACCAGAGCCAAAGTCAGAAGCTTAACCAACTGAGCCACCCCGGCGCCCCTCCACGAAAATATTTCTTAAACAATTCAAGCATCCATCAGGATGCTTTTTAGTACAATCTCTGTGTGAATTGTTTGTGAAGTCTTTTGTTTTAGGCAACAAATGATAGATAACCTTATTTACTCTTTTGCAGAATTCAGGTTTAAACATGGATATAAAAGTAAGATCTCTACTGCAAGTTTATTTAAACCAAGATAAATCTGCAGATTACATTTCTGCCAACTACCAATCTGTCCACATTTGCTAGGGTGGTGGGAATTCCTCACATGTCACTCACATCAGGTGCTCTTGTGAACAGAAATAACCCCTCCCCCTTGCCTGTCCTCACTAATACACAAGGGCTGGACCTCTGTAAGGACTCCAGAGGGGACAGGCTTTACACTCCTCTGTGATGAAGATGTGCTTTCATCCAGCTGCTAAAGATAAAGACACTGCCTCTTCCCTGAGAGAGTGAACCTTCACACTGTAAAGCAACCATAAAGTAACCACAGACTTTATCTGAATCAGAGGCTCCGTCTACTGGGGAAAGATTTAGTCATCTGACTCAGTAAGTTTGGGTCAGCTGGAAAGAAAAACAAAGGCTTTACCCATTTTTACCCTTTTATTCCCTGCATGGTAACTACATTCAACATCTATTCAAACAAGAACATACCCGCATATTAAAGAAGACTAAGTTTCAAAAGTTTCTAATGACTGCGCATGTATAGAAGCAGATGCTTAAGGCCACAGGGCATTCTCAAGAACCTCTGCCACAAACATCTCTTCCTGTTTTTCTAGTTTTTTTTTCTAACTTAAGTTAGCCCATTTATGTTAGAACCAATTCAGTATAAAGACCCACTGACTACTCCAATCTCCTTAAAGCACTACCCACACCACCTCAGGGTCACTGCTCAGAGAGGGCTTGAGTGCAAAGACCAGTGATGACCCACAGCACCAGGGAGAGGAGGAGGTTCTTCTGTGCACTGAGGCCTGGAGAGTTCCTGGTGAACCGAACCTTACAGGCATTTGGGTGATTAGACTGCAGCATGAGGAATTAAATTGTAGTAGGATTCTCTCAATTATATGGCCCAATTCCATACCCTACCCCAGTTTTAGAAGTTTAGTATTGATAACAGAGAATCGGTAACTCACACACCTTTTACAACTGCCAATAAAACTGTCAGCTGACTTCTGTGGCTGCTGTGGGCTCCTTCCCTGGCCCACCCCCCTGCCTGCACCCCAGAAAGAATCACACCTAAAAATTCATGTTAACCTTCCTTAGAGTTTTCTTTGTTCTTCTTTGTAAAATATATATCAGAGTGCCGATTTACTGAAGGACAACAGAACTTTGAAGATGATAAGGAATGTCTCACTTCGAGGCAAGGAGACTAGCAATTATTGCATTAAATTGAAGATACTTCCAGAGTACATAAGTTTGGGTGCTAGAAAGTAAGAATCAATCTTTGTTAACCGATGTGGAAGCTTTTAAGCTTCACCTCAAAAAAAAAATTTTAACCCTCCAATTACAGAATATGACTCTACCCTACTTATCAGACACCGGAACTACTAAGGGAACTTAAATAATGTGAAGAGCAATGTTCTTATATGCTGATTAGAGAACTGCTTTGCCCCCTAGTGTGAAGTACAAGGCAAAAAATTTAATAACCCACATTTTAAAAACTGTAATACCTCTAGAATGACAAAAACTGAATTAGCATTTGTTGCTTGAAATCTGCTTCCACGGTGGTGCTGGGTAAAGGATGTGGATTTGGAGCTTCACTTATTCATGTGAACGGATAGGGAAGTACCTAAGTCAGGCACACAGTAAATCATAAAGGGGAGCTATCTTTGTCTAAACGGTTCTATTCTGGAAGTCTTGCCTAAATCTAAGATGTTACAACTTAAACACATTAATCTCTCTTCCTCTCTTTTTCTAAGTCTGAATTTTTCACACCAAATTACTTCTCTTTAAAAAATACACACTTGGACCATAGTGTTTTCCAAAGTAATTCCCCTCCTAGAAAAAGCAGTACAGTGTCAGTTCTTCACCTTTGGAACTTCTCGCCACATTTATGTGCAACCCACAAAAAGCAAATACGTCTATTGTGGGGATAGAGATAGTTTGTTAGTTTGCTCAGTTCTGAACCTTCATTCAGCTGACCTAGCGTTGAAATGGAACTGAAAAGGAACACAGTAACGGTATTTGTTTGCTCCCGGTGTTCAGCAGGAATGATATATATAACGATATATCAATGATCATTCAAAATATACCCATGAGCATAGATGCAGTATAGCCCTAAACACTTAGGAGAACAGAGCCACAGGGATTTGCAAAGTGATATTAGAGGAAAACAGTTGGTTGATTTTACCAACACTGTCTGTTAAAAGTGTGGTCATGTCTTTAAGAGCTTATAAGCACGTTTAAAGACACAACTGGGCCGCTGGTCTCTTCTGGCCACAGACAGCTGCTTGAAATGGCTCACACTGCTACACTGCTTTATGATACAAGACATGCTTTCCTTACCTTCCACCATCAGTAACTCTACAATTTTAACTTCGACCTGTATTTCCACCCAGGATGAGGACATGTCAAGAATTCCTTGACTGCCTGCCTGAAAGGCTTGGCGTGGGGCACATCAAGCTGCGGTGTGACTACATTCAGCTTGTGTTAATGCAGCGTGAGCCCTGAACCAGGGTCTGGTCATTGACTTTTGCCTCCACCTGAGGGGCTCTGTTCCCTTAAATTGGCAGCTGTGTCCCTGTCAGCATAAAATCTAGACTTGCAGGAATTAAATCTGCTTGACACTTACATCTGACACAAGCTTTAACAGAACAACCAAACCTGGTTAATCCAAATCACTTTGCAAACTCCATTTTTATTTGGATTAAAAAGCTTTAAATGAACAAACATATGATACATACATGTTATAAGACTAGTTCCCACTTAAACCTCCTTTGATACAGAAATTAGAATAAACCAAGTTTTAATTAGGTCTGAAAATGTTCAAGCTCAAAAGTCAACAACACCAGTTTGAGATTTCACACAAGGAAGTGTCCCCTTTCAGTTCTTCCTCATAGGAAGAAAGTGGGGTTCAAAACAAAGCAATTCAGGGCCTTTTAAATCAGTTGGCTGACTTCCTATTTTAAACCGATAGGTTTTTCCCCCATATAAACAAAATTCTTTTCCACATGAACTTATATTTTGAAAACATTTAGGCCATTATACTTTCTAAACCATATCACTAGTTCCTAAAATTCATTGGCGGGCGGGGGAGGGGGGAAGATGTATAAAGTTCACTTGTACTTTCTTAAGACAGGACTTTTTTTTTTTCTTTTTTTTTTTTGGGCTTATCTTTTATGGAAGATGGTTGACCTCAAATCTTATATCCTAATATTAACTGATATTCCCCAAGTTAATATACAGAAAGACATGATTCTAAAATAAATACATAGACTTTTTTAAGCTTAATTAGGGCCTCCCTACCGGCCCCCTGGCCCGGCTCTGCACTGCCTTCGGGAAGCCCCTGGCTCAATCTCTGGTTTCTAAGTACCTCTAGACACTGGGAAGGAGCCAGGAGGAGAAGTGCCCTGGCTTCCACTGCCCCACCTAGCCCACAGTGAAGAGTGTGCAGAGGCTTCCCAAAGAAGTCTCATCCAGACCTTAAGAAGAGAAATAAAATGGGTGCATGAAATAAATAAATAACTTAACCAAAATTAGATTTCAGGTTCTTTGGTGTAATTCAAGAATGTCTAGAAATAAAATAATCTGATTGTATTATACAGTCCATGATGATTCAATGGCCCAAATAACTAGGAACTGAAGATTTCTTTCTCTGATTCAGTTTAACAATAAGGTACTGACATACTACTGCAATACATTTTTTAAAATTCAGAATTATTTAAAATACTTGATGCAAACTGAGATCCAGTGGTTGACTATAGGCAATTAAGTTACAAGGGCCTCCTGTATTTAAAGTATCTAGATACAAGAGACATTTTTTCCATTCTACACTTTTTGTCCCCATGATTTAGTAAGAATGGCAATTAAATATCCAGGTATCGATTCACACCAGATTAAAAGAAGAATTAGTATCCTGTGAGAGTCACTCTCTCCATTCACAAACAGCAAGGGAAGCTCACCAACATGGCGACCATCTTGTTACAAAAAAAGCAGGGTTCAAAACTGTGGAGTGAAATACTGTTCCAGGTTTGATGCTTTCTACCTGTCTGAGCATCATACGCTGCCTGGAAATATTTCTTCTAGGGTCACCTAAGAGAGACAGGGTCAAACCCAAGTGTTTGGGATCTGTAATGGTCTTTTCTTATGAGTATTTTCTTAAATTATAATTATTTTCTCCTGAAATTCAAAAGCACAAGCTAAATTTAAAAAAACATTCTAGAAAGCCTTAAATTTCTGGTTGAGAATTACAACGTTGAAAGTCAGAAGGAAAAAACTGCCACATCTGGTGAGGAAATAAAGGTACGAAAACATATTTGCCTATGTAGACAATCTACCCTTTTACAATTATGCTTCTGACACAGCTCATATCTGGTTATACACTCCCTTCCCTAT